GACCGACTCTGTCGTCCGGTGATCTAACCGCCTTCTGGAAAAGCTTCACAAGTACGTCGGTACGCAAATGCGCTTTGTTACACAAGTGACGGTACGCATTTCAGATTGTTGCCACGCATGCGTACCTGCGTACCACTTATGTGCACCCCTGTTTATAAGATAGGGGTTCATGGCTGACAGTGCAAGACAGACAGCCAGATAGACAGATCGCGAGACAGACGGACAGACAGACCAACAGAGCGACAGACGCGCGCACACATATGCACCCACACACGGACAGACTGTCTTCTGCATGTTTTTCATGTAGCCATACTCAATGTATTTTTGTGCAAACACGCACTGCACTGTCTAGGTAAAGGGTATATAATATAAACCTTTATTTTGAAGAGTACAGCGCAAGCATAAGGCAAACTAGCCCATCAGAAGCAAAGAGGCACTGGAGACACACCCACCTATGGAAACGAAACATTTAGTGGTATACTTGTTTTAACAGTAAGAACAGAAAAACGAAAAAACGAGCTGAATTGAATCTGAGTACTTCACTTCTGTTTTGTACTTTCCACCACTGCTATAAAGACCGTAAAGGGTGTTTGCAGTAAATTGTATTTTAAAAGGCCACTAGTTGGGGGTAAAGCCACATTTCACAAACGGGAGAACCACCAACGAAGAAGTCAGGAAGTCAGCAGCAGCCTTCTTATTATTCATCCATGTCAGCAGCTCAGCAGCAGTAGTAACTCGCACATCATGGAGTATTAAAGAAGTAATAAACATGGATAAAAAGAAGAAACCCTTCAACGTGACGGCTTCATCTGTGAGTGGCATTCAGAAGCAGCTTTACAAACTACTATCGCTGCTGTGTGGCGTTTAGTTAAATATAACAGCTAACGGTAGCTAACTCTCAGGCTATGTTGCTAACACATAAACAGAGTTACAGCTGTGTTAGTAGCAAAACAATAACTATTGATTTAAGTATAACGTTATTTCTGATATCACGTTTGTTCTTACAGCTGGTGGACCTTAAAGCTGAACTGTACAGGAAGCAGGAACAATTCAAACAGGACAAACTTGGGCATGAAAACACTGGAGCTGGGTTCACATCAAGAGCCAAAGTCAAGGTACAGTATGTGGTATTTATTTTAGGGCCCATTTTTACCTTTTTGTTTAATGAAAGAGATCTAGAGCTACAACGATTGGTTGACTAATTATTTTTAATTTGTAAAAGTATGTTTTCTTACATAAATGTCAGAAAAGCTTATAACATTTTCTGCTTCTCAGATATATTCTCCTTCTTCTATTGTATATCATATTAACTGAATATCTCCCGGTTATGTACCGAAATACCCGAGATATTGAGAAAACTAGGATGGACATTTGCACTATTTTCTTGCATTTTATCCATTATCGATGAAGAAGATAATCATTAAATGTTAGTGAGATCACTAACGATGTTTCGTCTTCATGCTCTTGAGTAGAAACCTAATGTCTGGATCAAACAAAACACTGGAGTCTCAGCAAGAGCTGAGAAAGACGCGGAGCAGCTGTCTGAGGAGCAGAGCAGTCTGGACACCTCAAAGTGAGTTCAACATATTATATTGTAGATTCACTGTCATGATAAAATTATGACAAAAACCTCTAACTTCTAATGTTCTAATAACAGACGCAAGCTAGAGGAGAAGGCCAAACTCTACGAGCAAATGACAAAAGGAGACTTTCCAGGTTGGTTGAGTAAAAATGATATCTTCTAATAACTTAGTTCCATAGCAAAATGTACTTTATAATAAACTTGTCTTGTATTCCCCAGATGAAGAGACAGAAGGACTGTTCCTGGTGGATTTCACCCAGAAAATTATTGACAAAAAGAGAGAAACACTTGCACAGAAAAGCGAAAGAGAGGATGAGGAAAGAGGAAATAGGTCTCCTGTCCCTCCTCCTGAAAACCCAAATGAGGAGTGGTAATGTCTCTTTCATATATTTGTAAGGGTTTGATTTAGGAAATGTAAAGTGCAGTTAGTATTTTAGTTTCAAAGCACATATGTTAAATACTATAGGGCTGTCAGAAAGAAGTATGATATTCATACCAATTCCAATACCATTAAAGTGATGCCTATACCAATAGGGTGCTTTACTTATTATTTAAATGTATATATAAAAATGTATATCCTGTTAGTAATCTGTTCTGCTGCTTTGTTAATCTGTAGGGTGGATTATGAGGATGCTTTGGGCCGATCTCGGAGATGCATGAAGAAAGACCTGCCTGGGTTTGAGAAATTGGACCAAAACCTTTACGGAAAAGCGTAAATATCCTACAGATAAAACCTTTAAAATGTGCAGGAGTTGGTTCCTTGATGACGGGAACTTTATTGATACCACTCTTCCATGTAGAAAAGCCTCTGCTGAGAAGACCTTACTCTCGGAGGACATGCGCCGAGAGCTGCAGAGGCAGGAGTGGGAGATGGAGGAAGAGGAGGCCATGAAGAAGCCTGTCGGACCCATCCACTACGAGGATATCAGGGGACAAGGTTACTTTTAACGCATCTCTTAAATGTTTCCAGCACACGTTTGAAATACAGGTATGTGTTCTGTAAGTCTTGTGCTGTTCAAAACACATACTTCTGTCTGTTCTGTCTCACAGAGGCTCGGGATCTCGGTGTGGGTTACTTTGCGTTCGCTCATGATGCCGAGCAGCGCAGGAAGCAGAGAGAAACTCTGGACATGCTCAGAGACCAGGTGAGAACACATATCTAGCCTGTTAAAATATAAATATATATTAGGAGAGGGCATTTTAAAAGTTCTATGGATAACATAGTCCCGACACTAAAAGCATGTATGTAGATCCACACAAATCCACACTTTGATGGACTTTATTATGTATTTGTAGTTTACCCACTTTTGCTCAGCCGACTATACACTAAGTCTATGTTATATTGTTGTATCTAGTTAATCAAATCTATATTTATTTAAAAAAATGAATAATGCTGTCTTGAGTGTTTGCTCAGTCTTTGTTCTTGTCCTTCAGACAACCGAGCAGCGCACTAAGAGGGAACAGCTGAAGGACAAGAGGCAGGCCATCCTGAAGGCTCGATTGGCTAAAGTGAGGACTAGGAAGACGAAGAAGGCCAAGCTGGATGGCACGGAGGACGAGGACATTGAAGGTGTGTATCCTCAACTCCCTCACTTCAAATGCAGCCGTTTGCATTTAAAGTCTGCATGCATGCTGCAGTTCAAAGATCACATGAACGCTAATGAGGGATTGTTGTGAATTGTTTGTCCTAGGAGGGGACGACGAAGGGGACTTGATAGGACCCCCGGCTCCACCAGAGGAGGTACCAGAGGTCAGCAGAGCGAGGAAGGTGGAAGTTGAGATCCAGGAAAGGAAGGACTCCAAACCAGGAGTTCCTCATGTCAGGGAATGGGACAGAGGCAAAGGTATTTATAATTTAGTAAAGGTCTCTAGTGAGAAAATATTTAGGACGATTTAAGGTTTGTCGGGAAAACACGTGAGTGCCAAGCAAAAGTAGGACTTGTACTTCTCAGCCTTTTTTTAAAAACAATGGCAAATCATCGATACAAAAAATAAATGATGGTTGCATTTCATTCAGCGGCTTCAAAGGCTAAACCGACTGCTAAACCCAAAGTCCAATGAGCACAGTTAAGAAGAAAGGGAAAGGGTTTGACATCCTAGATTTCTAAGTTCAGAAGTACACTTATTATTTCACATTGCACTTAAGTGTTCTGAACAGATAGTTCTTCAGAGAGTTTGGAAACCTCTTACCTTTTTAGCAATGACTTTGGAAAGCTGACAACATTTGTATTTAATGATGACAATTATTTAAAGAATAATATGCATTGCATTATATTAGAAGAAACCTACTTCATGTTAAACACATGATCATTCGTTTTCCCATCTGGTTAAGATCCCTTTCCAGTACTGTTTTGGTGTCCTGCATCATTCTCTCTGTACATGCAGGTGCTTCCCTGCACATGCATACATCTGCAAGTGGAATATTAAGTTAAAGGTCATATAGTTGGAGGTACTGATCTCACTCTTTTTGTAGTCCTATGTTATGCATCTGTGGGTATATATCTATACTGACATGTGCCATGGGTGGAACACAAATTCAAACTTTTATAAACAACGTATGCTGTCGTCGGCTTTAAGGGATTTCAGTTAAGTTTCATTACTTTGTGAAGTAAGTCACTTCTTTAACTCCTGCTTTTTCCTGTTTCCTCCAGAGTCCATGTTTAACGAGTGGACATCTCGGCGTCGCGATGAGCGAGAGTCTGAATTCGCCCCTCCCACTGCGTACTTTTCTGAGTGGAAGAGAGAGCGATCGGTGAAGGTTAAAACTCAGGAGAGTAAATCCAAGATGTCCTTCAAGTGGAGCAAAGGCCCAGAAGAGGTCTCTGAGAGCAGAGAGAAGCCACTTTCTCCGCCAAAAACTGCCCCCTCACCTCCTGCCCCTCAACCACCTCCTCCAACTCCTCCACCTCCTCCACAGCCACAGACTCCATCACAGGCTTCACCTTCAGGTCCTCCAGCAGAGCCCACTCTGGTGTCTGCTCCTCCCTTTAATCCCCAGTTTCCCCCCCATTATCCTCAGTTTCCTCGTCCACCTCCTCCTCAGTTTGCTGGACCGCCTCACATGTATCCCCCCCAGTACCCAAACCAGTATTACAACCAATATCCGCCCCAATATCCTCCACAATATCCGCCCCAATATCCGCCCCAATATCCAACACTGTATGCTCCCCAATATGCTCCTCAGTTTCCTTCCCAGGTTCCTCCTCAGTTTCCTTCACAGGTTCCTCCTCAGTTTCCTTCACAGGTTCCTCCTCAGCAGCAAAGCCAGTCTCAGCCTGAGCAGCCTGAACAGAGTATGGATGAAATGCTGTCCTTCTACAGGAGCATTACCTGATATCTAAATGATTCTACTTGCTGTGTAGTTTGTATTTAGAGTGTAAATACTGTTGTCTAATTTTTTTTAGTGACATTTTAGAAACAACAAACACATTGCCTCAGATCTTTGCAGTTTCAGCATGTAATAAACACAAGGAATACTGTGACTGTTTTTTTTTTCTGACAGTTAATTTAATTCAGTTTATACAGTTTAAAATCTTATAAAGCTTCGCCTTCTGAGGATCTATTGTAATGGTGAGAAAGCATAACATGAAAAAAGGTTACTCCTGGTTTAAATATTTAAGATATTTGAAAGTCTAGAGAGGATTCTGCAGTATGAAAATCTCCACCAGATGGTACTGTACACTTTCATGTGGAGAAAATATCTGCAAGTGGCCGAACTGTACTGCAGTGATATATCTGAACTGTGAAAGGACATTAATCTACAGCTGCTGTTATTTTAATGAACATCAATCTGCTGATAATTTCTCCCATTAAGTAAACAGTTGTTATGTCTATCTAAAACCCAATAACATTCAGTGTATTAGCAGATATGAGGAACAAAAGCAGCACATTTTCACAACTGGAAAAAACGTTTTGAGTTTAGAACGGACTGAAATCATTTATGGGTAAATGTGTTTGGATTATGTTTAAGTCAATTTACAATTTTATTTTTGTATTAAATGATTATATTTAGTGTGGATGCAATACTTGTTTTTTTGAACGGGTAAAGAATACTTGAATTGTGTCTTATTTCTGAAAACTGTATGAAGTCATGGCAGTTGGGTAAAGGCAACCGGTTGTGAGTTTGTTTCGTTTTTAGAAATGTTTTCTTTACGTGAAATGCGTGTTAGAGGATTGTAGCGTCCTGCTGAAGCCATCAGTCATCAGAGCTGAACCTCTTCACTGCTCCCTGATGCCGGACCGGACTCATCCTGGTGTTCTGCATCACCAAGTCCCAGTACCTGTTGGACTGGTGAGTTTCAAACTTCTCAACTCGGCTTTATTTGTACAGCAAATGAATACAGCCATGCAGGCCACAGTGCCTAACAGTCATAATAAACAGAACAGACAGACAGAAAATAATTAGAAAACTAAAATAGACCTCAATAATAATATCAGTTGAACACACTGTCTTAAGCTGGAGAAGAGAATGTAAATGCAGAATGAAAGTGGCATCTAAATATAGAAAGGGATAATTAATAAAGAGGAACACATTGATCCTCAACTAAGTGCAACAAGGTCTCCTGCTGTGATGTATTGCCATGTTGGTGGCGACTGTCTTTTAATAGAGCACTGTGCAATGCAGAGGGAATCAATAACAGAAGAACATGAGTTAATAACTGCTCAGTGTAACCTCATGTGTAACCTCAGTTGTAACCTCATGTGTAACTCAATGTAACCTCAGTGCATTAAGACAGCGAAACTGCCTTAAACAGTATGTGTTGTGGCCAGTGGCGTTTCTATATGTACAAAAGTGGTGGGGCACAGAAAACTTAGATGTCCATATATAAGCTTCTGCAGTGAGGTTCATGGTTGGTGAGGCACTGGCACTGACTCTTCAGGTTTACAAATATAATATTTTGACCTAAATCAAAATATAATATTATTTTCAAAAGCTTTTTTTGTCTGATGCTTCGATTAATTTTAAACAGACAGTTCAACAAAAAGGATACCCAAAAAATGTAATTTTATCATTTAAATATTGAATTGTTCTCTCTTTGTAAGATCCCATTTTCAATAAAATTGCGGTCTTACCTTGACTTGAAGATGAAGTCCATTTGGCTATCCTTCTGGACAAAAATCTCTATTACTTGTTTGTAAAAGTCCTCCTTATCTTCTTGTAGTTTAAAAAGTCGATCATAAATCTAATCGATAGATTTATGATTCGAAAATTATAAAAGTAGGGTAGACATGTGGATATTATCCGGCTGAACAAAACGTGCATTTATCTAACAGCTACGTTTCCCACAGATCTTATTTTGAGCTATTTTCTAAAATCCTATGGAGAAATCTCATTG